CCCATGCAACTTCCAACAAGTCTCACGGGTATGGCGAGGGCGACGACAAAAATCACAGAAGAGTGTATCCTTCTCAGAAGGAGGGCGAGAACCACGGTCCCCATCTCGAGAAGGGGCAGAAACTAAGGCAGATCGATCAGAAGAGGCAGCCGGAAGCATAGCAGAACGACGACTCTCCTCATTCTGCACATAAGCAAATGCTTCTTGGAGAGAAGGAAGAGCATCCATACCAAGCACACGACTCCGAACAGGATCAAACTCCACATTCAAACCTTCCAAAAACTTGAAGACCCGCACTTGTTCAACAAATTTCCGATAACCAGCAGAATCTGTGGGGCAGACAGGCTTGTAGTCTTGAAGATGATCAAGTCGCTTCCACCCATTGTTAAGGAAAGTAAAATACTGGAGAATAGTCATCTCACCCTGAACAGACCGGTCAATAGAGTGTCGTAACTCAAAAGTCTGCGAGAAATTACCTTTGCGAGAATATGTAGTGGCCACAGCCTCCCAAATATCCTGTGCTGTGTCCATAGACAAGTATCCCTCACCGATCTCCGGAATCATAGAGTGTATCAACCAACCCATGATAAGAGAATTGGTAATCTCCCACTGATCATAACCTGTATCGGTGATACTGGGAGCCTGAACACGCCCATCAACATATCCCATCTTCCCTTTGCTCTTCAAAAATATAGTCAAACTCTGCGACCACGCTAGATAGTTCTGACCATTAAAGAGAGAGGTGGTGATTTTTTGGCCAGGGTGGAGGGAATCGGTCATCGAAGTGGTCAAAACAGGACTCACGCCTTGTGTAACAGGCTGCGAAGTAGCAGACTCACTAGTCAATTCGGCCATAATGACGTCGCGACGGAACCCTCACAAACACATCCAGAGTGAATCACAAACCCGAAAGATGGGAAGATAATAATGAATTTAAAATAAAAATTTAAGAGAACATTTTTTTTTTTTTTGAAATTTCTGTTATTTATTTATTTATTTATTTATTTTTATAGAAGACAGATTAAGGAGAGGCTTAGATATTACGAAGATAGAGAGAAAGATGAAGACGAAGGTGTTACGTGTAGAGACAGAGAGATGTCGTCGAGGACAGACCACAAGGCTCCAAGCTAGCCGAGAGAGAGATGCGCCTGTGCCTTCGACTGGAGTCGCGACTCCGACTGGGGCTGTCGGAACCCTAGGTGCCTTCGACTGGGGCTGTCGGAGCCCTAGGTTGTGCCTTCGACTGGAGTCGTGATTTCGACTGGGGCTGTCGGAACCCTAGTTGCCGTCGACTGGGGCTGTCGGAACCCTAGGTGGCTTCGCCGGAGGCGTGCAGGCTGGGGTGGTGATGCTGTGGCTCTGGTTTTGTTTGTTTGTTTGTTTGTTTGTTTTTTTTTTTTTTCTTCTTCTAGTTCTGCTCTGATACCATGTTAATTTTAGAAGAGAAAAAAGGTTAGAGTATGAGTGGTTAATCATACCCTTTTATATTAAATCATAAACATAAGTTAAGGCCTAAATAAAGGCCCATTACAGACTGAATGAGAATAAAAAGGGAAATATCCTAACACATTCTAACAGTTCTTACAGGCAATGATAGCGGGGAAATACCTCTGTTGAAGAAATATTTAGCTAATGAGTTTGAAATCAAAGACTTGGGAAGCTTGAAGTATTTTCTGGGAATTGAAGTTGCTCGCTCTAAGGATGGGATATTTATCTCACAGAGAAAATATGTGCTTGACCTGTTGAAGGAAACTGGGATGCTTGGCTGCAAGGCATGTGCCACCCCACTGGAACCCAATCAAAAATAGGGGATTGATGAAGGAGGAGAAGTTGTGGATAAGGGGAGCTATCAACGATTAGTGGGCAAGCTCATTTACCTATCTCACTCCCGTCCTGATATTGCTGTTGCTGTCAGTATAGTTAGTCAGTTTATGCATGCTCCTCATCAGATTCACTTTGAGGCTGTCATGAGAATCTTGAGGTACTTGAAGTCTGCTCCTGGTAAGGGTCTTTATTTTTCAAAGTATGATCATCTTCGTGTGGAAGCCTATACAGATGCTGACTGGGCTGGATCAGTCATTGATAGGAGATCGACTTCAAGTATTGCACTTTTGTTAGAGGCAACCTAGTTACTAGGGCTGGGCAACAAACCCACCCCCCGCACAACCGCCAGACCCTACCCTACCCGCAGTGCTTTGGGCGGTTTTGATGTAGTAGGCGGGCGGGTGCGGGTCAAGAAATTGGCAAAAGATCGGTTTCGGGTCGAACTCGACCCGCCCGCAACCCGCATCTTTTTTTTTTTTTTTTTAAAGAAAAAATAACTAATTATTATTATTTTTTGCATTTTGGGATGATGGAGATAACTAGTTATTATTTTTATTTTACATTTTGGATGAAAGTAAAATTTATTATATGGGCACTTATATACATTATCATGATCTAATGATATTTAAATTAGTGTTACTGTTTGACTTTTATTTATATATATATAAAAAAAAATCATTATATTCCATTAGTCTAGTAGACACAGTTAAATATGATATTTTGAATTGTCATTCTATTATCACATTATTGCATATTAAAAACTAAACAGTGAAGATTAATCCACTATTAAAATTAGTGTTACTAGTTTGACTTTTAAGGATTTGTTTTGCATATTTAAATTAGTGTTACTAGTTTGACTTTTAAGGGTTTATTTTTGCAAGCTAAAGGAGGAAGATTAATTACTATCCTCAAGCATGGTTCCATATCATCTTATCTAACATGTGGACTATTTATTATGATCATGAATTGTATATCTTGTAATTTAATTTATAACTCTTCTAAAAAAAAAAAAAGTGTTTAGAAAGTAACAAAAAATGTCAAATTTGCTTAAGTTAAAAAAAAAAAAAAAAAAAAAACTAAACCGCAAACCGAACCGCACCCGCCCGCACAAACCGCAAACCGCATCGCGAGCGGTTGCGGGTCCATTTTTCCCCAACCGCATAAGTGCGGGTCGGGTCGGGTCGGTTTTGACCCGCACCCGGCCAGAACCGACCCGCGAGCAGCCCTACTAGTTACTTAGAGGAGTAAGAAACAGAATGTGGTTGTCAGGTCAAGTGTAGAAGCTGAGTTTAGAGCTATGGCACAAGGTGTGTGTGAACTTTTATGGATCAAGTTATTGTTAAGTGATCTAGGTATTGATCAGACGTATTCCATGCGGTTATACTGTGATAATAAGGCCGCCATCAACATCGCTCACAATCCAGTTCAACATGACAGGACAAAACATGTTGAGATTGATCGTCACTTCATTAAGGAGAAACTCACTAGTGGTACCATTTGTACTCCTTTTGTCCAGTCTGGTGAACAACTTGCTGACATTCTCACCAAGGGGGTTGGGAATAAACTATTTCATGACATATTATGCAAGCTGGGCATGAGAGATATCTTCGCACCAGCTTGAGGGGGAGTGTTAGCATATTATATTATTATCTGAGCCTTTTTTGGCTTGTAATTATTCTATGCCCTCAGGGCTTGACTTGTAATTGTCTCATTTTGTAAACCCTAATCTTCATTTATAAATAGGGGATGATAATCTATCAACCCTAAGCTGATTACTCAAAGCTTCAAAATACATGTTCAATGCAGAGAAATTTACTGCCTATCAGTCACTCAATTTACAAGATGAAGGAATTAACGGCAGCACTTAGCTTAGCAATTAATGAATTAGCAAGTGAGAGTGATTATTCCATAATTTTCTTTCTTTTGAGAAGTAAAAGATAAGTAAAAAGTGCCATAGGGGGCAAAATCAAAGTACACAGAGTATACAAGAGTGCACTAACCTCAAGCCAAAAACACAAATCATCCAGAAACATAAAAAAAGCATCAGCAATATACAGCATTCCTCGGAAGGCAAAGGAAACAATTCAAGATTAAAAATATATATATATATATATTATACAGGAACTCCATATCCTCAAAAGAGCACATATTCCACTCCTTCAAAATGTTTGCCAAAAAGGGAAATGCAGTGCTAAATTCAAACTTTCCCAACCCAAATATTAACATTGTATGGAAAGCTCAACTGCTGACCTTAGCATGACTTAATACACTGCAAAATGTTATGGCAGAAGACAAATAAATGTCCACAAAAGAATGCACCAAAAGGTGGCTGTCTATCTCTCCAACTCTTGCACTTGTAACAGCATTTGAGAACTTGCCAAAGCATCAAATATAAATAGTCAAAATTCTCTCCAAAGCCAGCACTCAAGATGGGAGGAAAAGATGAAAGACACTTGAATACACGCCAAGCAACTAGTAAAACACTCCTAGAGGCTTCACAACTCAGTTTCTTCCCCATCCACGTAAATTGAAAGGCAATATACTAAATCACAAAAGGCATCCAGTGATTCTAACTCTCATCTTGAACCACCATACTAGATGCTCCGCTTTGACACACAGATAGAGTCTCTGCAGGAATCCAGGATAGCTCTGGTGACTCATTTTGATAGTATCCTCCCAAACCCTTCTCTCTATATGAGAGATACAGATTTCTAATGCTTTGTTGAAAAGCCGAATATCAGCAAATTGTGTTCCCAACGTGGAGGGAAAAACATTGACATTCCATATTTGATACAACCTTAAGCATAAAGGTATTCTGCATGAGTATCCATTCGAAAGAGTAACCCGTAAACCAAATTGGAAATACATAATTTAATGTGAATATGAGGTGAAAATAGATTTGCTTCTCAATTCTCATCCTTCAACCTACAGATGATGTACAGCCATTCTGTACACAAGGCAAATTAAATATATTAAATTATGGCTATTTCTCTCCTCTTATCTGAGTCCAAAATTGCTGTAGTAAAACTTCACACATTTTTACTGCATGCATGTTGCCTACAAAGTGATATACCTAAAGAGACTGATAACAAAGCAATTATCACCTTAATGACTTCAGTATAAGTTTCTTGATAGAAATGGGAGTACACTGAAAACATAAGAAAAAGAGTCCTTACCAAGTACATTCCCATGGAGTGATCCATAACGGACAAAGCGCAAACCACCGGCATTAGTTGAGACATTTCCACCAATTTGACAGCTTCCCTTTGCACCCAAGTCTAGTGGCATAATAAATCTGAATGGCAGAATAATTACTTACATATCTAAAAATTAAATTGTCAAATTACTCTGCAATATGATAAAAACTGAAAGCAGCAGTCACTGAAATATGAAAAGTCTAGACTGACCAAGAAACTTATGTGTGATGCAAAACATCAAAAACCAGAGCAGGCAATATCTCATACAATGAAACATACATTCAACCATATCATTTCTCAATTCTCATCTTCACACATACACATGTTTTACAAGTGTAAAAGGAGACAAATGAAAACAAAGAAAAACAACTAGAAGCCACAAGTCATCAACACCCCTTTTAAATCTCTAGTAATAAATCCTTAAGTTAAATGGGGATCTGTAAATGTGGGGATCCTATGTTTGGAGGCAATGTGCATGAACAATGGGGACATCACTGATGGTGCCTTGTATTAAGGAGACAAAAGAGCAAGCTTGTGTGCATATGGGTACGCATGTCTATGTATTTTCCTAATCTCTTCACATATACACAATCTTTTTCATAGTCAATCAAGCAAAATGATAGCTAACCACATCACAGCCTTCCAGTAATAAGTTCATCTGGGTTAATAGCGGATGTATTAAGCTATTACACTCTCTACTTGAGTTCAAACCTTACTAATCACATGTTGAAGGAAAAATATAGCAGTATGAGAGTTTCAGAACTGACTGGACCACCACAACACGCTGGTTAAGGAAAAGCTTGCCTGGTTCAGGCAGGTCAAACCAGCTTCCATCCCACAAGCACATCAACTGTACAACCAGCTTGGCTTAGGCCTGCTGACACTACATTACCAGTTCAACTCGATGAAGAGCATTCTATTGTGTATCCTATGCACGATAAATTAATATCATAAACTTTCATGTGTGTATACTAGTGTCAACTTGGTAGGCACCCTAAAATTTTGAAACTCTAAATGCAAGCACATATGCACTGCAACTTAAAATAATAATAACAAAGACAATAATCATGAAATTTTATGCATGACATAAATTTTCCATTTGTGTGTATGTATGTGTGATTATGTGTGACTGCTTGTGCAGATCACATGCCCCAAACTGTTCAACTTAAATGGCAAGCATTCACCAGAAAACCTTCATGTTTCTAACGTCCTCCTTATCTTCTTCTGTAAGCTGTTTGCATAAATGAGTTTGACTATAACTTTAAAAATACCACCTAAGATTGAAAATTTGAAATTAGAAAAAAAAAGCATATCATTGATGATCACATTAAGCATCAAAACATTGCATCAAAAAATACAATGACAAAATAAATGGGATTAGAGCCTCCTTTCTTTAAAAGGAACAAGGGAGATGGCGACACACAGCCACGCAGGATTTAAAAGTTTCATAATAGTTGTAATTTATTAAAATGTAATCCTGTTATTTTCATAGAATTCTAGATCTTATATGCCAGTCAAATAAGAAAAGAAAAAAAGAAAGAGTAATGGTCAGTAGACAGTTACCCTTGGTTATCGAGGAAAGAAACCAGGTTCTCCAATATACATCCTGCTTCGCATACCAAGATACCGCTTACCTAAAAATTGGCAGAGGCGAGTCACTTCGCAGAGAAGTGGACATATGTGATAACATTCGACAACATTAAAAGCAGTAAATTTTTCACCATAACTTGCAAAACAAAGACAACAAATGTTAAGGTTGGAAGAGCTTAGGTTCACAATAACTGTGAGAATGCTAAGTAGTGAGAAAAAACCTATTCCCGTAAGGACACAATGCAGTGGCAAAAAAATAAATAAACAGAACTTAACAAAACAAAAATGGGAGAAGCGATAGCGAACGGCACAATCCACTGACAAAATCCTAGAGGAAGAAGCTTTTCATTAAATTAATATATAATGTGATGGGGTAAAACTTAAAAGATTTAAACACATATACCATTTAGGGGTGAATTTCTACCTTGTCAAAGGAAATGATGTTATTCATGGAACCCATGTTGATAATTACCTGCAAAGTTATTTGATCACATTCAGAGAGAGAGAGACATCAAAAGAAATAGTTAAAAGTTTGCAGTATCTTATACAATAATCAGACGGGAAATTAGTTCTTTCTGGACATATCTATGTTCACATGTATCCATGTACAACCATTCCAGTGTATAGGGAAAATTGTACTGCCCAGCCACTACAAGATCAGCCCATTCAGCTGAAACTCAGGCCCATTATGGCATGATAGGTTTTGAAAAGCTTGAATGTGAGCTAATGTATATTGGCTCTAAATTAATCTCCTCCCAAGCACAACCAAACCTAAAGTAGCTAGCTATATGTTTAACTTTTGTGTAGTTCATGGAATTTAATTTGTATCATAATAACGTTACAATGGTCAGATTGGCACAACTGAGCCAAATGTTTGATTTTCAATGAGATTCAATTCCTAATTTTGGCTTATATTCTCTATTATGTTGAAGAAAGGATAATTTTGGTTATAAGTTCAACCTAGCCCAAACTTAACCTGCAAAATGCTACACACATGAGGCTGAGAGCACAAGATCAGCTGAGTTCTAGCTGATTTCACAATTAGAGTTGAGCTTATTTGATCTTAGGTATAAAGAGTTGCAAGTACAACTGCAAGGTGTGGTACAGTAAAAAAAACATGCATAGCCATGCAGAAATCGACAATAATATAATGTTGTGACAGTTACTCATGGGGTGTCAAGCATGTAATCCAAGGGCAAACCACTTTGTCGAAATGGAATTAGAGGTTAGGTCTACACCAAATCCACCCCTCCCAGCAGCCTGGACCAGCAATGCTTCGTCTCTCTCATTGATTTGTTAAGGGTTATACAACTCATCTTCAGTTTCTTAGGTGATTTACCTTTCATCCTTACTTATTAGTAAAAGTTTCTCCGTGCAAGTCTGTCTAAAAGAAAAAAGAGCATTGGTGTTGACAACCTAAAAAGTGGACACCCTGGTAATCTTAATAAAGTAATATGGACAACACAACTTTAGTACTCATAGAAGCAAACCTAGGGATTTTTTATTTTTATTTTTTAAATACTAAAAAAAAGTTCAGCATGTTTACTAGTTATGTTCACATTTTATAAGCAGAGCCATGCCAATCCTCACTGGTATTAAATAAACACATTAGACCTTAAATTAAATCATAATACATGACCAAATATCTTAATCAGCTTCCCCAACAAAATATTGAGGCTACACACATTTTCCTACATATCTGACTCAAGGATGCTGGCAATGACTAAGTTTTTTTTATCAAAATTGGTTAAATGAACATAATTTGGTTTAAAAGCATTGATCACCTAAATCAGCTAGTAGTAACCACAGCCATCAGGTTACAGAAAGGTTATTGATCACTGCGGGCACAACTATAATACCTCATCGAAAACAGGCACACTTCCCCCTACAAGACCTGTATTTCCACCTTGGGGGACAACAGCCAGACTTCTGGAATTACAGTATTTAAGAATCTGAGAAACCTGCAAAAAAACAGATACAGTGACAATAATAACAACAATTTTGCAAGATAAATCAGCACTAGCAATCAATTGAGAAAGAAAAAGAAAATAACAGCGCCACAGAAATTGATTATAAGTAAATTAAATCGTGTCATATTCAGGAAACCTAAACTAAATCTCATGCCATCCGTTCTAGTGAAGGTTCCTGTTTTCTTTCCTTGTCACATCCTAGATGACGGTTTAATGCCTCCAAACACTCCAAAGATAAAAATGGAGCCATTCAATTCATATTGACTTTCATTTACACTGTACACCGATAAACTCATGACTCAATCGAAAATATTTGCACATTGAAGATTCATCAGTCAAGATGCATTTGGAAAATATTACGATTTCTTTGCAACAATACATAAAAATGAATCATATTTTTTTTATATGAAACTAAAGGACAGTAGGAAGCTTGAAATGGAATTTTTGAAGGAAAAGCTGAGGAACCAGAGATTTTCTACTCTTTATTCTTAGTCTTTCAAAAATGAAATTCTCACCAGGAATAAGCCATGAATTACCTGAAGTTATTTTACAAGAACAAAAGCATGCACATCCCTAACCATCTTTTTACCTTCCCACCACAAAAGGGGGTGAAAAATAAAATAAATTGAAAGAAAATTATTTGAAGAGTCATGTACACCCAAATAGCATAATCTCCATTGTTCAAAAGTCTAAATCTTAAGGATGTGGAACATGATGAAACTGAAACTCTCAAACAATTAATAGGTAGTAAAAACAAGCAACTAAAACTCCCAGAAAAGAAAGATGTGAACCTCCTCATTGCTCCTAGGTTGAAGCAGAAGCTTGCTTGAGCCTTTGTATTTCCGCATCCAATCTGTATTTGCGTCAAGCAGCCTCTCTTCGTCCTGAACTACATTTTTCTCCCCTAAAATTTCCTTAAAGTGGGTGATATCTTTATCATTTATGGTCGAAAACAATGGATTCCTCTGCGTTGCTGTCGCCACTGAACCAAAGGATCTACAATGGATTCTGTGAGTATGTCCATCAATTTTTTTTGCAGAACTGAGGCCACTACCTATGTATTCCCTCAAGGAGTTGACATATGGTGGAAGATTTCGCTCAGGATGTGCAAGAAATGTTTCAGGTAGTCTGGAAGTTCTACCAAAATGATATGTGAAACCTGAAACTTTTTAGTCAAAAAAAAAAAAAAAAATGCTAAGTGCACATCTTTTTCAAAAATTATGATTCGACGTATAGTTTAAATCTATGAAGTATGGATACTTCTATATAGGAGTCATATCCATATCATACCCATATCATATACCAATACTATTCAAATACTTGAAAATACGTATCCTATACTTATTAAAAGCATCCATGTTTAGAAATTAAATTTTATTTAATTTGTGTAAGTATCAAGTACCTTCTAGATACTCTAAATATCCAACCTATCTTGAAATTAAAAAGATGCAACATTTCTTGTGTAGTATCAGATTTATAATTGTTCTAATAAATGAAAGAATAGTTACCAATACTTTACATAATACTTAGAGAAAAAGAATTGGAAAAAGTGAGACTAAAGCATGTCAAATTTGGTCCACATCTGTGTCCACATAACATAACCTTAATCTTTCTATGTGAAATGAACAGTTTATAAATTTGAACAGAGAATATTTGATAGACAATTAAAGACAAATAGTTTGTTACAAATATGTTATAACAAAAATAATTTTTATTTACGTACATGATATACATTTACATATATCTCATCATATCCTTAACTTATCTGTATCCTACTTTATTAGAATTTTCCGTATCAACGTTCCATATCATGTCATATCTGGATCCTGTAATTGTATCCCATAGCTTATAATAGATCTAAATGGTTGTCAGTGACAATCTAGTTCAACAATGAACATATCACTGGTAATTATGAAAGTTCCTGAAATCATGAGCACATTGATAAATACAAGTACATGCACTTGGACTTTGGCCCTGTTTAGTAGAGCTGTGGGAAAGTGATTATAGATTATACCTTAACAGATTATAGCTTACAACTGTGAATATAAGCTGGTAACCTATTTGGTGTAGCTGTGGGATTATAGATTTAAGTAGCAAAATAGTGTTTGGTAAATAAGTTGTAAAATAATTTTTTCTGTATAATTGACTTTTTGGCCTTATATGATATAAAAATAATAATTTTGTCATTTTTTTTTCAATTTTAATTTAAAAAAATTATTTCATTAATAAAAGTTAATATAATTAGTATTAATTAGTATCAACTAATATAAAAATTGATACACTTGATAAAAATGTAATAGAAGTATTATTGTAATAATTTTTTTCCATTATAAATTAATTAGTATCAATTAATTGCTTAATTAGTATCAATTAATACTAAAATTATTAATTAGTATCAATTAATGGCTTAATTAGTCTGAATTAATACTAAAATTATTAATTAGTATCAATTAATATTAGCATCAAATAATATTAATAATCAACAATTGTTATTAATTAGTATCAATTAATAATTAATTCATTACAAAAATATACAATATTAAATTTTTTTGGCATTTCTGATTCTGTTTTTATTAAAAAAAAATTATTACAATTAAATATAACAATTGTTATTTTTTTAATTTATTATTCTTTTTCATTACAATTAAATTGTGTAATTTATTTAATGGATATAAATTGCACAATTTATTTCAATATTAATAAATTATTTTGATTAATTTTTTTTTTATTTCAATTTATTTTGTTCAATATTATTTTTATTATTTTGTTTTTAATTATTATTTTTGTTTAATTTATTAGTGTCAATTAACACTAAAATTATTAATTAGCATAAAAAATATACATCTTATTAATTCATTACAAAAATATATAACACAAATTATTAATTATTAATTCAATTTTTTCTTTTTTAATTAATATTAATATTGATTTTTTTAAAAAAATTTCTTCAATTTGTTTCTAGGGTTTCAACGCAGTCGTCGGTGCTAGGGTTTCAACCCAGCCGGCGAACAGCGATCGGCAGAGATGACCAGCCATCGATGTAGGTGCGGGAGGCAGCGGAGAGAGAGCGAACGGCAGAGATGATTTCCAGTTTCAGATCGCGATGGAGAGAGAGAGAGAGAGAGAGAGAGAGAGAGAGAGAGAGAGAGAGAGATAAGAACAGTGTTTAGAGCTATAAATCGTCTTTGCCGAAAATTGCACTTGCCGAAAATTGCCATGCCGGAAATTGCCTCTGTCTCTCCCTCTCGAATGAACAGTGCTTGAGAACAAATGTTATATAGGTGGGTTTTTGGTAATAGTTGAAATATAAGAGGGGCATTTAAGTCATTACATATTTGACTAAACGTAAAATTAAGCACCTGGGGAGCAACTTCAACTTTTAAGCCGAATTTGGCTTAAATTAAGCCATAATCTATGCCCATAAGTTGTACAACACACCAATATAGCTTAATTTAAGCCAAAAGCTTATTTAAGTTGAAAAAAAGTTCTACGAAACACCCACTTTATGCGTTTGTAACAGCTTATGATAAATTATAAAACCATCCCACTGATAAATTAAAATTATACTTACTCTTGATACAAATTTGATTGGATCAAGAGATTATCAATATCCGACCAATATAATTTTTTTAAGTAATGAAATGCTCGACAGTCTCTATACATTGAACGATCGAATAATCGATATAGGCCTCATGGTAAGTTCACAAAAGGCCAACAACATGTACCAATCCGATCTCTGACGAGAGAGAAGCGACTGTCTTTAGAAAAAGGGAGAATTATAGTACAGTGGGGCAGAGAAAAAAATTACCAAAACATGCGAGGTGCAAGTGATTTTGTAATGAGTGCAAGTGAAAAATTGTGATGTTTGTGTAAAAAAAATTTGTCTGTCTCACTGATATATAATTTCCCTTCAATGGTGCAACACGCACCCATTGGTATATTAATTAGTATACTAACACATAATATAGTATTATAATTTCAAAACTAACTACGAACTCACTGATTATACAAATTATAAAAACTCAAAATCAATAAAATTATGCTACATCATTTATTAGTACACTAATTGATATATCAATTGGTGTGTATAATTTTATTCATTCCCCATAGAAAAATGCCTAATGCCAAGAATTACTGAACACGTGGCATGATCTCATTAGCAATTTTACCATGGTCCCACATCAACCAATATATATAGGATCCAAAGAATTATTTTGAACTCTCTCTCCCTCTCTAGAACTCTACAAATTTCTCTTACACTGCCTACACACTTCATGCAACCGAAAGCCGACTGTTATGATTTAGGAAGTTTTGGATTCAGTTAGCTCAGTTGGCAATTGAAATTCAGGAATTTAATTTGCGAGGGAGAATTAGTTTGAGAGATTGTTTGATTGTTGGGGGGTGGGTTAGTTGGTTAGGAGGTTTGTTAGTTAGTTAGTATTGGATAGGGTTATTCCAGCTGTATATAGCTACGGTTGAAGGGGAAAGAGGGGAATGGGACTGTAATCAAGTTTTATGAGAAAAGGGTGAATGGACTCCAAATTTAGTTTTCCATTTTCTCTCTTCTTTTTCTTCAATTACTCCTTTCTTCTTTCATAGTCATATCAATTGGTATCAGAGCAAGGCTATTCTTGGCCTGCAAGAGAGATTCCACAGAAATGGCTGATGGGACTAGGGCACAAGAATAAAAAAAAATCGATGAAGCAATACAAACTCTTAAAGACAGCAGTGATAGGCAAGCTTAGGATATCAAAGAGATCAGAAATTCATTGAAAGATGTGAATGAAATCAAGGAGTTGATTTTTGCCATGAATGTCAAGTATGATCAAATGGCAAATGAAGTTTTTGGAAATCATCCAGAAACCATGGAAGCTTCTCAGGTTCGTTCAGATTCATCTCAATTATCTACTTTCTTCAATACCAGATATGCAAGAATTGATTTTCCAAGATTTTTTTGGGGAAGATTCCACTAGATGATTATATAAATGTGAGAGATTCTTCGATTATAACTCAGTTTAAAGTGCAAATAAGATGAAACTAGCCACTTTGCATTTAGAGGATAAGGCCCTTTAATGGTACCAATGGTTTGAGAAATGCCATCGCCAGATTAATTGGGATCTGTTCAAACAAGGAATTATTTCTAGATTTGGGGCCAATTCTTATGAAGATGCAATCGGTGACCTGACCAAATTAAGGCAAACAACCACTGTGAAGGAATATCAAGAACAATTTGAGATTCTGGCAAATAAAACCAGTGATTTACCATAAGCTTTTTTCATTAGTTGTTTCATCAATGGATTAAGAGAAGACATTAAGGCAGGGGTGTTAATGTTCAAGCCTACTACTATAGTTCAGGCCATTGGATTGGCTAAAATGCAGGAGAATAGCATTGAAGCCATAACAAGAGAATAGAGTGGGAGAATCTACTTTTTCCCATCAGGCCAAACAAAATCCATTTATGAATCCTGTGAAGAAAGAACTACCAAAGGACTTGGAAGAAAAAAAAGCCAAAGGATTATGTTTCAAATGCAATGAGAAGTATACAAGGGGCCATATATGTAAAAAGAAGCAATTATATGCTCTGGAGGTTGAACAAGAAGATCAGGAACAGGTGGAAGACGAGGGTGAAGATATGGATGAAGACCAAATTCCAAAAGAGGAATTACAGATTTCTATTAATGCCCTGTCTGGCTTTATTTCCTATAGAACTATGAGGGTAAAAGGCAATGTCAAGAGAAGGCTAGTCATGATCCTAATAGACTCGGGAAGTACTCATAATTTCCTAAGTCTAGAAGTAATCAAGAGAGTTGGGATAATGGCCTCAGAGACAGACCCATTACCAGTTTCAGTTGCTGATGGAACCAAACTAATGAGCACAGCAATATGTAAAGGATTTCGATGGGAAATGCAGGGTACCGAATTTCAAGCTAACATGAGGATTTTGCAACTCAAGGGTTGTGACATGGTTTTGGGGATTCAATGGTTAGCAACATTGGGTCTAGTGAAATGGGATTTCAAGAATCTTAGCATGGAGTTTCAGTTGAATGACAAAAGGCATGTGCTAAGGGGAGGAAAGAAAAAAGAATTGACAATCATTGGGGCTAATAAGATGAAAAAGATAATTCAGAAACAAGCATATGGAGTTGTAGCTCAGGTGTACTCTCTTCAAGCTGAATGTAATGAACTAGAAGATACATTGCCACCAGACTTGGAAGCATTATTGGCTGATTATGAAGATATTTTCCAAGAACCTAAGACCCTTCCTCCAACTAGATCTCATGACCATTGCATACCATTGAAACCAGGGACAGAACCTACCAATATCAGGCCCTATAGGATCCCTATTTCCAAAAGACTGAGATTGAAAAACAGGTTAGCGAGATGTTAATTTCAAGAATTATTAGAACCAGTGTTAGTCCTTATTCTTCACCTCTGCTATTAGTTAAGAAAAAGGATGGGAGTTGGAGAATGTGTATTGATTATCGAGCCCTAAATAAAGCTACTATGAAGGATAAATTTCCTATTCCTGCAATAGATGAACTCCTTGATGAATTGTGTGGTGCTAAGTATTTCTCTAAGCTGGATTTGCACCAGATAAGGGTAACTCCTGCAGACATTTACAAAACTGCATTTAGAACCCATGATGGACATTATGAGTTCATGGTAATGCCATTTGGGTTAACAAATGCGCCATCTACTTTTCAAAGCTTGATGAATGAAGTTTTTAGGCCTCACTTAAGGAAATTCATCTTAGTATTTTTTGATGACATTTTAGTATACAATAGTACATGGACCAATATTTGCATCATTTGCAAGCTACTTTGTAGTTGCTGCGAGTTCACCCACTATTTGCCAAAAGGTCCAAGTGTGTGTTTGGTAAAGAGGAGGTAGAATACTTGGGGCATTTGGTTTCAGGGGAAGGGGTTTCTGCTAAACCAACCAAGATTACAGCTATGACTAGTTGGCCTGCACTTGCTACTTTAAAGGAACTAAGAGGATTTCTTGGCCTTACAGGATACTATAGACGGTTTGTTCAGGGTTATGGAAATATTTGTTCTCCACTCAATCAATTACTCAAAAAGGATTCCTTCTAATGGAACTCAGAAGCTGCAGTGGCATTTGAACAACTTAAGGCAGTAATGACCACAATACCAGTTCTGGATTTGCCTAATTATACTAAAGAATTTGTGGTGGAATCACATGCATCAGGAAAAGGCTTAGGGGCTGTGCTAATGCAAGAGGGACATCCAATAGCTTTTTGGAGTAAAGGCTTACCTGCACGGGATCAACTTTTATCTACCTATGAAAAGGAATTAATGGCAGTGGTCTTGGCTGTACTCAAATAGAGGCATTACCTTTTGGGTAAGAAATTCCTTATCAAAACAAATCACCAAAGCTTAAAGTACCTATTAGAGCAAAGGGTGGGCACCCCATTCCAACAGAAGTGGATTACTAAATTGTTGGGTTATGATTATGAGATCGTTTACAGATGTGGAAAGGAGAATAGGGCAGCGGATGCTTTGTCTAGGAGTGAGGATACTACAGATAACCCTGCTACTTTGCATGCTATCACTTTTGTGTCTACTAGCTGGTTAGCTGAAATTAAGCCAAGTTGGATATCTGATCCAGTGGTGCAACAGGTCATTGCTAATTTGATTCTTGATCATACTTCCCATATGGGTTATCATTGGGAGCAAGGGATTCTGACCTTTAAAAGCAAATTGGTGGCAGGGAACATGCCTCAACTCAAGATCCAGATTATGGAGGAATTTCATTGCTCTGTAGTAGGTGGGCATTAGGGATTGATAAAAACCACTAAGAGAATTCAGAGAACTTTGTATTGGAAAGGGTTAAAGAAAGATGTTTCGAAGTTGGTTTCCGAATGTGACATTTGTCAAAGGTTTAAGAGTGAAAATGTGAAATCACCTGGATTGTTACAGCCTCTTGCTATTCCCAATTGAGTTTGGTGGGCATTAGGGATTGATAAAACCACTAAGAGAATTCAGAGAACTTTGTATTGGAAAGGGTTAAAGAAAGATGTTTCGAAGTTGGTTTCCGAATGTGACATTTGTCAAAGGTTTAAGATTGAAAATGTGAAATCACCTGGATTGTTACAGCCTCTTGCTATTCCCAATTGAGTTTGGTTTGATATCTCTATGGATTTTATTGAGGGCCTTCCCAAATCACACAGCAGGTCTGTTATATTTGTGGTCGTCGACAAGTTAACTAAGTATGGCCATTTCATGGCACTTTCACATCCATACACAGCCAAAGATGTTGCTCAAGTATTCCTAGATCAAGTTTACAAATTACATGGACTGCCCTTATCTATCGTATTCGATAGGGATGCAGTCTTCACTAGCAATTTCTGGCATGAGCTTTTTACTTTGCAAGGTTGCAAATTGTGTTTAAGTTCCGCTTATCATCAGATGGCTAGACAAAAACCTTAAACAAGTGCTTGGAGAACTATTTACGATGCATGATAGGTGACTGTCCCAGGAACTGGGCTAAGTGGCTTTCTTTAGTTGAATGGTGGTACAACACTTCCCATCATTCAGCCATCAAAACACTCCATATTACGCTGTTTATGGCCAAGATCCACCAGACCACACCTTCATTGCTTCTAACCCCTCTGCTGTGGCCTAGGTGGATAATTGGATACGGGAAAGAGCTTCAATTCTCAGAATGTTAAAGGACAATCTGCATCAAGCTCAACACAGGATGAAGCATTATGCTGATACGCATAGATCCGACTGTGAATTTGAACCACATGACTGGGTTTACTTGCGGCTGCAATCTTATAGGCAGTCTACTTTGGCATTACACAGGAATATGAAGCTTGCTCCTAGATTTTATGGTCCATTTCAGGTTGTGGCAAGAATTGGAAAGGTTGCTTATCAGCTCTAGCTACCTGCTTCTGCCCACATCCATCTCGTGTTTCATGTTTCTTTGTTAAAGAAAAAGTTGGGTCAGCACATAGTCGCACAGCCTACATTGCCACCAGTCGCACCTGATGGTACTTTCCAAATGGAACCTGTGGCAGTGCTGGACAGACGTATGGTTAAGAGGAACAACAAGGCGGTGGCTCAACTCCTCATTCAGTGGTCTCACTCATTTCCAGAGGATGCTACTTGGGTGGACTACCAGGACATCATCACCAAATATCCCCATTTCCAGCCTTGAGGTCAAGGCTGTTTTTAAGGGGTGGGAAATGTTATGATTTAGGAAGTTTTGGATTCAGTAAGCTCAGTTGGCTGCTGAAATTCAGGAATTCAGTTTAAGATGGAGAATTAGTTTGAGAGATTGTTTGATTGTTGGGGGGTTAGTTAGTTGGTTAGGAGGTTTGTTAGTTAGTTAATATTGGATAGGGTTATTCCAGCTGTATATAGCTACGGTTGAAGGGGAAAGAGGGGAATGGGACTGTAATCAAGTTTTATGAGAAAAGGGTGAATGGACTCCATCCCCAACCCATCTCTCTTCACTCATCAGAAAAAAGAAAAGCAAAACAAACCCATAATCAACACTACAAACAACTTTCAATTACAGAAACCACAACAACTATTTCGTCTTTAACACCACAGCAAAAATGGGTATTCCAAAGAAGCTCATAATCTGCCTCTTCCTGGTAACAACAATGGCAATCCAAACCACCACCGCTCTCATGCCCTACTTCATTCAGCAAGCACTTTCTATCTCATAAACCCTTTTCTTTTCTTTTCACTCTTTACTTTTTAAATTCAAAGATCAAACAAGTACCAAATGGGTGGTTCAGTAGCAAAATTATCAAAAGCCAACAAGGAAATAAAACAGAATTCCAATAAATTCCTCATAAAATTCAGTGTATTGAACTCCAAAAAAGTGTTAGTTATCTTCATAAAAATAGAAGAGTACCTGGAAATCGGTTTGAATACTGATAACTAGGGTTCGATGATCGATCAAAGAGGTTTCTTGAGTAGTGCCTGAGCAGACTATGAGTAGCTCTGCACTTCTCCATCTCCCTCACTTGTCTCGCACTGCTGTTGAATTTGCTTGTAATAATTAGATGAATCCAATAACGAACCTGATCGGATCAGTGGTGATTCTATTTGCATTTAAATACCGAATTTTCTACCAAACAAATGACTAAATATTTCATATGGGTGTAGGGTCCGTAATTTTGTGGGCCGTGAGACATTTGGTCATTTATTTGGTAGAAAATTTAGGACCTCTAGCATTTTCCTTTAAATAAGAGTAATGTTAGGGATACCAAATTTTCTACCAAATAAATGACCAAATGTCTCACATGGGTGTGGGTCCGCAATTTTGTGGGCCCCACTTTGGTCATTTATTTGGTAGAAAATTTGAGACAATGGTCATTTATTTGGTAGAAAATTTGAGACCTCTAGCATTTTCCTTTAAATAAGAGTAATGCTAGGGACACCAAATTTTCTACCAAACAAATGACCAAATGTCTCACATGGGTGTGGGTCCGCAATTTTGTGGGCCCCACACCACATTTGATCATTTATTTAGTAAAAAATTTGGTGTCCCTAACATTACTCTTATTTAAATGCAAATAGAATCACCACTGATCCGATCAGGTTCGTTATTGGATTCATCTAATTATTACAAGCAAATTCAACAACAGTGCGAGACAAGTGAGGGAGATGGAGAAGTGCAGAGCTACTCCTAGTCTGCTCAGGCACTACTCAAGAAACCTCTTTGACTATCGATCATCGAATCCTAGTTATCAGTATTCAAACCGATTTCCAGGTATTCTTTTAGTCAAAAATGCTAGAGGTCTTAAAAATTCTATCAAAAATTTTACCAAATGTGTGGGACCCACATGGACTCACATTGTGTGGGTCCCATACCCATGTGAGACATTTGGTAAAATTTTTAGTAAAATATTTATACCCATATGAGACATTTGATAAAACTTTTAATAGAATATTTTAATTTCTACGTGGGGATTCTGTTTGCATTTAAATTATAATATCAGACTAAACTAAATTTTAATTTCTATCATATTTATTATTTACAAATATTATATTAACTCAAGTGTTATCTAAGATTTTTTTGAATTAATAAATCTTATTTAATAAAATTAAGAATATTATTAATTTTTTTAAATTTTAAAATTAAAAATATTATTAATTTTGTATAGTAATGTTATAGATAATTGTTTTACTAACAAAAAAAAAAAATCAGAGCATGAGATTAAATATTTTTGCCATTCTATTTATTAGTTTGATTCAATTATCCAATAAAATTTAATTTTAAAATTGAGAATATTATCAAAATTTTCATTCTTAAAGTTTTTTTTTTTTTTCATCATCATGCTCTTTAGACACAAAATTTTTAGTTTTACACAAAAAAATAATTCAATTTTTTCCAAATTACTTAATTTTTGTTGTACGTATATTTTTTTTCAATTTTTTCAATTTGAAAGTTGATATTTTAAAATTTTAAAAATCATAATAAATGTCAAATCATTATGTGCCTTTATATATAATTATAAATAATAAATAATCAATATTTGAAGGGCAATTCTGATTATTAAAAATTTAATGAGATTTGAAGGTTCAAAAAATCTTAGTTAAAACTTAATGGGGTATAAGTTCATAAATTATAATTTGTGTGTAAATATCCCTATTTTGAATATAAATTGACTAAGGATAATACATACGTAATTTTTTTTTTTTAATGATACATTCAAACTATTTGTGCATATTCTTCAATTTCAACTCTTTTTATTATCTTTTTTCTCACTCTAAAACTCTAATCCATCCCACCAAAACTTACCATTACTATCAATATCATTGCTTTCAATTTAGATATCAACAATGATTCATCCCATTAAAAACATCACCACTAATAGCACTAATGCATTAAAAAAAAAATACAACTCCAAGACCAAAACATCACATCATTAATGACGGGACCCACTGCCACCTAATTAGTGGGAGCACTAATTAGTGCTCCCAAGCACTATTTATTTATTTATTTATTTATTTTTCACGAATGTAAAGCGGCAGATATATTTATATAATTATGTTGAACACAATAACCAGCGACTAACAATCTCCAAAGGGAAGCTGCCTTAGCCGCAGTGTGCGCAAAATTAACAGTGCGCCTATCAACCTTACTAATACACACATTTCACAACCTTACAAATATTACATGTCCAGCAAACCATTTGATAGTGTCAATCCTCTGCCATTACCGACTAAAACACGGGAAACCAAAACCATACACCTTATGCTCCTTAACTGGCACCATTCCAAAGCCTCTACGCATGCTTTAATTTCAATGTTAAGGTCAATTGATATACTCTTGTCAATTGATATACCTTGTGATGAATGAAACTATCTCAAAATGGTGTAATTTGAGATTTTTTATTCGTTTATTATTTGAGTGTACTTTAAAAGGTAATTTAGAAAAAAAAAAAAAGATGTATTGAGAATAAATTACAAATCTAAATAATTTTAATAGAGTGCATTCAGAAATTAAGTGTACTTAATGATTTTTTAGGTACAAATAGAATCCCCGATTAGTGGTCACGAAGAATATAACCCGATCCAGCAAGGAATTAGATTAATGAAATTGGTTGAATATTACCCCTTGGTTCAAGTGCTACTTTGCCCGCCTCAAATATTGCCACTTGGTTCGGGTGCTACTTTTCCCACCTCAAATCGACCCTCTCCTCCCCATCTTTATAGATGAATCCAATTGGTTTCGTTGGAAAGTAAACCAATAATAAGTTTATGGGCACGTAAACTAGTAATAAGTTTATGGCACTGAAACCAAACAAAGAATGGGACACGATCTTTGCATTATTGTATTCAGAGCGTTTAATTTGATTTATGTATTTCTAGAATGACTGTTAAATTAATTTCAATCATTCATTGTCCTATTTGGTATTTAAATTCTGTACATATAGATTTATTATTTTTTTTTATAAAAATAAGAATCAAAATGAACCCTCTAAGTAGGGATGGCAATGGGGAGAGGTTAGATTTTACTTCCCTCATGCAGTGTCGGATCAGGGAAACTAGGTGGGGGTACCTTGCCATGAAACCCATCGGGGATCTAGAAATCAATACCACATCCAAACGTATAGGGGGAAATGGCGAAGAACAGCATCTATAAGGTCGGGCCAAGGGAGGTGTGTGGGTGATTTTCCGACCACACTGCCCGCTTAGTAACCAGCTGGAGAGCACTGGCAGAATAGATGGCACCTGACGGACCTGCAACAGAAATATAAGAATCCCGCGGTGGTTTCGACCACCCGGGGGCACTCCGACGATCAAGTCTATCTTTCAAAGATAAATCAAAGTATTCAACTCACAAGCTTGAGTATAAAACATACATTAGACCATGGGGGTGCTCTCTTTAATAGCCAATACAATCCTAGTCCAATAGGACCTGGCTCTAATGGATTAGATTACTGCTAATCTGGGACTCCTAGTGGGATTAGGATAAACTCTCTAAGAGTCTATCTTTACCCAAACTGAAGTCTTCTCCAATCTAGGATCTTGTCCATATCCAGGTTGAGTTCCCTCTTCATTCAAGGACTCTTGTCCCTTCCCGCTTATATCGGATTCCGATATCTTCGGAGGCAACCTCGGCCTAGCCGGATGACCTCGGCACAACGACCAAGACACGTGCACCTCGGTTGACACGTCGGCGTCACCTTGCCACGTGTTGGTACTCAGAAATATATCCCCACAATGCCCCCTAGGTTCTATTACCTCGGCATTCTGAGATGATGGAACCTACACTGTTCGTTCATCTGTGCCCCTCTGTCCGAGATCAAACTCGTTGACCTCAAAGTTCCCTGGACTTCGCTGCTCACTGGTGTCAAGAATCAAGTTCCATGCTTTCCAAGCTTTCTGAAATCGCACCTCCTAGGCGAGGTTCTGGTTCCATTAATTCGTAAACTCCAAGAGCTTTGCAACTGCTCCACTCACACTCTCTAGAGAGTTCCCGATTTCCAGTCATCTATTTGACTCCGGCGATTTTCATATCGGCGTTCATTTCACTTTTGTAGGTTCATAAACTCTTACTTTCATATTAAGCTCAATCTTTCATAACTCTTCTGATTTACTTTGAATCTGTTTATTTGCCATCAGTTGCCTTATATTTTCGTCTGTTTTCAAGTTTTGAATTGTTTGAATGCCTGGCACTGTCCTTGTCATATCCGCTTTCTGTTGCTAGCATCATGCCTGGGTCATTACTTTCTTGTTCTTCACATACGTACTTAGTGCCTGTGTACTTGGCTTTATTCTTTGAACTTTGTCATCTTCTTGACTTTTGTTTTTTCATTCAATCCTCTGGCTTTTTCTCTTTCTAGCTCTTTTGCTTAAATCTGTCATTGTTCCAAGCTTTCAAGCTTCTGCAACTGTCTTCGTTCGTCTCCTCCGGTGAAGCTTACGTCATTCTGTCATTGTCGTCAGATTTCAGCAATTCTCATTTCGGATTCTTTCTGGTAAGCCACTGTTCCTCCTGGTTTTATTTCTTGTTGCTTTCCAAGAAGCTCTGCTTCATTGTTAATCACCATTGCTTGTTTTACCCGTTATTTTCCAAATCATCTTCTTGAATACACACTATTCACACATCCGTTGATTTCTACCACTGTTCTTGGCTTGACACACTTGTGCAATCTTTTTGCCTTGATTTCTTGATAGCTTCATTATCATTCTTGATTACGAATTACATTCATGTTTCTGTTTTATGTGTCTTTTTCCAGATTCTTGCTTTCAATCTTTGCCTTCAAACTCCGAGGTGCCAATCGCCAAGAAGAGTTTTGATCAAACTCTTCAGGAGGTTGATGCTGAGTTCGTGGCTGAGAAGGCTGCTGAGAAGTTCTTTCCAACTGTCTTCTAGGGGTGAGATACAACCTACCGCTGATGCCGAGTAGTTTGCTTCCTTCTTGAAATTGATGCCGAAGTAGCGGTGAGAAGCTCCTCCAACTGACTGCCGAGGCTGAACCATTGTTGTCCGTCGAAGCAGATTAGTCCGACGTTCTTGCTTTCAGTCCCTAATTCTTTAAGGTCTTCATTTTTGTACTTGCCAACC